AAAGTATTTTTCTTGCCAAATATTAGCACCTTTATTATAAAACTAAATAAACATATGTGGTCCCTTTGACACAAAAAATATCATACATATATTGGATTTACAGATTGACCTTAATTTGACCTTAATCTTCCAAAATGGCTGTTTCTAATAAACTTTGTTCTCCAATCTCCCATTATTAGGTTGTCTTTTCTGCATTTACACATACTGTGGTCATTGTTGGTACTTCATGACCCATGTCTCTCAGTTTTAGCAGTGAGTGTCTTCCAGCTCCTTGTTCTTTGGATATCCAAAATCTATGTTAAAAGGGCAAATAGTATTTTCTGTGTATGCATTTTAATAAATTGCAACTATTCTTATAAGGAAACTTATATTTGAGTCTCTTAGTGACCATTGCTATTAATCATTACATCCTGTTTAAGGAATGCTACTTTTCGTACGCCATATAATTATTCTTCTATTCCAGGGGTTTGACCAGTATATTCTAATTCGATGGGCTGTAACATGAATGCATAAAGCATGGCTTCCATCCCTCTCAGCCCTTCACTCTTCTTAGAAACAGTAGGATCTGGACACTGCCTTTCTGACATTTCTATGCTCTCCATCCAAAACTGATTAGTTATTGCAAAAATGACGATGATCCCTGCTTTACAGCTGAACTCTCATGACCCAGCTTTATGTGCCACCATGCCTGGCTAATTTTTTATATATATTTTTTTAGTTGTCCTGCTAATTTCTTTCTATTTTTAGTAGAAATGGGGGTCTCGCTCTTGCTCAGGCTGGTCTCGAACTCCTGAGCTCAAACAATCTGCCCACCTCGGCCTCCCAGAGTGCTAGGATTACAGGCGTGAGCCTCCACGCCCAGCCTGAACCTGAATAAGACATGGGTTGACTAATAAACTATAGGCAGTTTTTTGAGAAATTACTGTAAAAAGTAGATAGAAAATGGAATAAAAAGGGAAAAATGTTTTTTGACTCATTATTCACACTTGATAGTTTTGATCTAACTTTATTTTCTTCTCACATGTTTACTATTTATTTGCAGTGGGAACACATAAGGTCTGGTGTCTTAGCAAATTTTAAACATAAAAATCATTATTATTAACAATAGTCATGATGCTGTACCTTAGGTCCTCAATAATTATTCATCTTATTACTAAAAGTTTGTACCCTTTGAACAACATCTCCCCACTTTCCCTGCCTCTAGGCCCTTGCAACTGCTGTTGTACTTTTTGCTCCTGTGAGTTCAACTTTTTTATCTTACCCCTATTAGTATGGGTAACATGTTCCGCTTATTTTATTTAGCATAATGTCTACCAGGTCCATCCATGTTGTTGAAATGGCAGGACATTCATCATTTTTATGGCTGAAAAATATTCTATGGTGTGTGTTTGTGCACTTACATTTTTTA